GGGCAATGTTCTGCCAGATGTGGGCAGGGGCAGCAGCGGCACAGCTGGGGCTGGGCGCGGACATCCCACACCAGGGCCATGTGGCTCTCAGCCCTAACAAATGCTTGGCGTAATCAGTCCATTAGTCCAGGTTTCTCCCAGTCCCAGACAGTTGTTTAAAATGAGCATCATTTGAAGCAAACCAGAAGCCTTAACACTCTATTTAATAAATAACTATAACTTTACTGCCTAAATTCAGGGTGGTCCAGACTCGCTGCATTTACAGGCAACATGCCTTTCTGAGTCTCATAACACCATCCCTCCCTTCTGAAGGGGGTTCAGCTATGGCATGTAGGGTGTGGAGGCAAGCTATAATGTCACAAACCTAGGCACCCCAGAGAGTGAGAGGCAGGGGTGTTATATATGCTTTATTCCTTGGTCACCTGCCCATGTCTACACAGCTGAAGGCCCTTCAGGTACTGCATGCAATCCTCCTGCAGTTGGGCTTTTGCCTGGAGGCCACCTGTTGGGCCTCTTTGCTCACAAAGGTTTTTATGAGACTCACTTAAAGCGCAACCAAAGCTGTGATTCTAGCCATTTTATAAAATAAATCACACATTTGGCAAATTTCGTATCCTTATGCTGAAAGATCTTCTGCTGAAGCCAAAAACTTCCCGTGTGGGAAGTGGGGAGCTTACATTGTATAAAATTGTCAATAAAAGTTAATTACTTATGGCCTAAATCTAGCTATCTTTATAACTGTGCCGCCTCAATTAACTGACTCTGCCTGTAGAAGTGTAACTGTGAGGCCTCTATGCTTGCTTCATCATCAACTCCAGCACCATGCTATTTTGAAAATAAAAGACCTGTATCCTGTCCAAAAAATAAACTCTGAAGGTGACTTGCCATGTTGCCATTTTGGATTACAAAAAAAAGGAAAAATACTCGGCCAGCACACAAGGGAAGGCTAAATTCCAGCAAACACACACATAAACAGGAAATCTCTCTCCTGTCAGAAGGTATTTTTCCTTTGTACAATGGGGTTCAAAGATGTGTCATCATATAGTTTAAAACAATTGCTAAGGAACCTTACCATTTCCAATAGCTTAGGAATAGAGTTGGCTTCCATGGCCTGTCCAAACTTGCATGGGAAGCACACAAACACTAACAAATATGTGCTGGCTTAGGCCAGTGCAGAGTTTTTAATCAATAAGCATGTCAAGCTGGGGGACAGGGAGGGGAGGGAATCAATTTTCTGAAGGCAAATGGTAACAACTGCAGATTTAATCAAATTGCAGATGCAATCCCTTACTATTCTCAATATTTTTGAAAGAAAGTATCTTCATGCAAAGAATGAATTTCAATAAATGTCACATATTTAGTTATATTGCTGATTTTTTTAATTTATCAAGCTAGGTCACTGAGCCTTCACAGAAATGATACCCGCACATGTCAAAAAGATTCTGATACTATTTAGCTGGATAAACGTCAAAATGAAGGAGCTATGGTAGAGGAAGGCAACTTACATAGAAATTGTTATTTCTCTGTGACTACAGGAATAAAGATATGCCGATGTGACCCTTCTGAGAGAGGTTAAAGCTACAATGCGCACAACAAAATGGATAGCTATCAAATACCATGGTGATGGCCACAGCGTGAACACTTGAGCAAAATGAAAATCTTCTGAAAGCATTCAGCAATTTTCCTTTTGCATGCATTTGTGACCAAATTTATCATGAATTCAAACAAGATTCCTTCTGCTGCCTCCCATTCAAAAGGCCAGTTGCATGTTCATTTTCTTGGGACAAGCACAAAAGACTATCATAGAGCTGTGGGGTGCAAAAAAAAAACAGTATTCTGTTTAAGTATTTAGAGCTTATTAAACTCCTCAGCATTACAGAAACTATTCTGTTATTGACACCTGCTTGAAAAATGAAACGCTCTGAGGCATTTGCTTCCCTGGAGACTGGTGTACAGGGAAAGGTGGAAGAGAGGGTTCAGGGCATTCACTACTTCCTTGCTTGCACACAGCCTCTCATTAAAATATGAGGGTTATAAACACCTCAAATTCTTCATCTCCACTTCTATTCTCCACTTCGTTATTTGGTATACTCAATCACAACTAATTCAAGGAAAGTCCATTTGAGCCAAGGGGACTCAGTCACCATCCAGCTACATCAAGTGGCTGAAAAAGATCACAGCATGACTAAAAGGTCTCAGAACAGATCAAAAAAGTTGGCAGTCTACTTGGGAACAGTGTTTCCTTCAAAAGAGTTATATCCTAGACCAATTTGGTCTGATAACTTTACCTCTCCTTTATTTTTCTAATGTTTAAAATTGGAGGAAAAAAACCCACCTCTATCTAGTTGTACGACATCATAGTTTTCCTGAAGGCAAATAGCTTGGCAATTTGCTAGATTTGTTAATGCTAGAGGAAACAAGTTAGCACACATACCATGTGTTTGAATGCCTTTGGAAATTAGATTGAAACACTGATTTGATTTCCTAAAAGGTATCTTAAACAAGGCAAGGTTAGAGATTTGGAGAGTAATGAGAATTTGTGTGACTTCAAACAGCTCTACATAAAACAGACCTGATATTCTGGGGGGAAAAAGGTCACCTAATTATTCGTTTCCTGAAGGCCCTGTCTATACTACATTTCCCCTGGGTAAGGAAACTGATTTAAAAATGGCTTCTGCGAACGTGCTTGCATCAGTCGCTATGTATGATATACAGATTTGTTAGAACCATTGCCAAGAGAAACACAACATTTTTACAAGGAGAGAACAAGAGAACCTGCATGGCTTGGCCATGGCAAAGAGGTGCCATCTGCAGAGTCTTCCCCGAGCCGTGGTCCTGCCTCCTTGCTGATTGTGTGCTGCTCAGGACCACGTGGTGTGACTATCAGTGGGGAGCCGCACGGGTTTAATCACCAGCTACAGCCTTCTTGTGGAAGGCAAAATCACAGGTTGTGGCCATGGTGGACAAGATTCCCAGGTTGATGGCTCCGCTGAGGGTAACAGCCTAGTGAAACATGAAATTGTGACTTCGGCCCAAAGGCCAGCCAGAGAGGCAGCAACAGGGAAGTGAGAAGCCTGGATGCAATGGTTTCATAGGAACCAGCCACGGAGGTGTGGTTGCCAGCCAAAATCTTAGGAAGGTTTGTTTGAAACACCACACACTGCAACCCATTCCTTCTCTTTTGCACTAAACAGATCCTGGAACTCCCTCCTGGGTTTTGCGTTCTTGTAGTTTTGTAGAACACTATTCAGCTACCCTATTGCTTTCTCACTTGAGATGATGTGTGTTTTTGTAGTGCTGAGAGAGCCCAAGCAAGATCTTCCTTACACTACATAATCCACAAACACACATGGAGATGCAGAACCTCTCCTTGCTTTCCGCCTGAAGTGAATGAAATCTAGACACACCACCACCACGAAGCAATTGTGGTACAAAGCATATCACCCTGAGGCCTGGGATTCCCACCGCCATAGCTCTGGCTAGTTAGCTACCCCAGTGCAGCATGCTGCTGGCATTAGGTTCCCTTTGCGGCTGTGAAGGCAAGGCTGCTGCTCCTGCACCGCAGCCAGCTGTGCCAGGTGGTCTCTGAAGTCCTGGAAGCTAGATCTGGGAGGCAGCAGCCTTTGAATTTCTCCTCCGAGTTGAAAAACACAAAGCAGTTCCTTGCAGATCACAAATGAATGAGAGTAGGTGGGTTGGCCCCTTCAATTGCATTGGACCAGCAGGAGGAGGTTACAGGTCATCAGTTAAGGTACCAGAAAACGATAAATGCAGGAAAATCAGGATGGGAAAGGCAGTCCTGGGATGACAACGTTTGCCACTCAATTTTGCATTCATGAGCTGTTCATTGAACCTCTGCTGAATTTTGGCTTCCTGGCTGGCTTGCCCTGACTCACTGTGCTCCCGGCCATCTACAGGCTGCACTGCCATCTCCCCGGAGCAAACGGCACCTCCACGAACCACACTCCAGCCACATGTGCAATTTAGTTTACCAGTAAAGAACTGCCATGCAGTGGTTATCCTTTGGAGGAATGACAAGAAAGCCCTATAGGAAAAAAAAGACAATTCATTCCCTCCCCACCAAAAAGGCAAAGAAGCTGACTCCCTTTTCTGTAAATAGAGAGATGAATGTTTTACACAATATTCCTTTCTCCAAATGATTCAATTTGCATTAGAAGACAGTCACAAAAAGAATCCGACAGTGCTAAGAAGGATTAGGGCACACAAAGAACAAGCGAGACAGTCATTCTCTAACTTACTTTGTTTTCAGTGTGCAGCTCCTGCCAAAGGCTGGCTTTTTGCTCTCGCAGTGTATGATCTGTAAACATTTAACCAGCTCTTAGAGAAGCAGGCGAGACACTTTATCTTGCCTGATTATGAATCCAAACCTCTCAGATCTCAGAAAAAAAAAAAAAAAGGAGGAAAAAAATCACCATGCTGTTTTTTTGTTTTTTTTTTTTTGTGGACAATGCAGAAAGCACCTGTAGGATGAAAGCAAATGAACTACTGCATATGGCGTAAGTTCTTTGGGAAAAGCATGCGTTGCAGCTTGAATAACCTCCTACAGGTTACAAACGCACAGTTTGTTAAACATCGCTGTCACTTGATTATTAAGTCCTATTTTAAGACGTATGTGCCAAACTTCCAATTTCTCAGGAGTGCATCGAGTATTTATAAAGCCAAAGACCACCTAGTTTAACGCTGACACAGAAACAGTGTGGAATGCCATTCTATAGCGCAAGTTATTTACCGTTTTAAGCAAATTATGCTTTTAAAAATGGAAGAAAATATTTGAAAAAAGGCCAAACAGCAATACGAGTGCGAGGAAGGCTGCGAACGCTATGCAGCCACAAAGTACAAGTCCCCAGCTCAGGGAATGCTGAGAGCTCACCCCGAGAGCTCAGCCTCACAGCCTCTGCCAGACCGGCCACCACAAGCCTTCACCTCGGAGCCACCGTTCACGAGAGGGCACTTCCCCGCCGCGCTTGCAGAAAGCCCCGCTAAACAGCCGCGGGCGCTGCTGCCTCCGGCCCCGCTCCGCGCTCCCGCCGCGCCCGCGGAGGCTCCCGCAGGAAAGGGCGCAGCGCAGAGCGCTCAACCAGCGCGGCCGCCGCCGAGAGCAGCGCTGGAGCGCTCACCGTGCTCCGCCCGCCCTGTCCTGCCCCTGCCCGCGGCGGCGACTGGGCGGCCGTCCTGCGGTGCGGGCATCCGGCGGAGCCCGGCCACGCAGGGGCAGCCCCGCACCGCGGCTCACCTGCCCCGCGGCACTCGCCCGGCGCGGCGCCTGCCTGCCCCGGGGAGGGCAGCGGCGGCCGCCGGGCTCCCGCGAAGTTATCGGGCGGGGCAGAACACAGCACCTGGGCCGCTCCCCGTCCTACCCCCTCCCCCGGCTCACTCCGCTCCCGCGTCCTCCCCTCGGTCCTTACCGGAGCGGAGCGCGCTGCGCGCCGGCACGACAGCCGGAGGGGCGAGCGCTGCACCCCGGCGGGCGGGCTGGCTCCCTCCCTCCTGAACTCCTCGCCCATTCACCCTGCCCGGCGCGGGCGGGGCGGGGCGTACCTCCGCGACCCCGCGTCGCTCTGCCCTCGCCAGTCCGCCCCGCGGCCCCTCCGCCCCCCCCGGACGCAGCATCCCAGTACCGCAACGCCGTCCCTACCTGTGTCGGCTGGGGCTGCGCGCCCCGGAGAGCAGGGGCCTCCCGCCCGGCACCTGGGCTGCGGAGCGGCTCTGCGCGCCCTTCCCTCCGGCGCCTCCGCCGCGCTGGTGGCGGCTCCCAGCGGTAAATCAGCCGGTCCCCTCGGCTCCCTCCGCCCCTCCGGCGCGGTCCTGACCTGCCTGTGACTCACCACATCGCAGGAGCCCGGGTGCGCGGCGGGGGGAAGGAGGGAGGGGGCGCCTCCTTCCTTCCCTCCCTCCCTCCCTCCTTCCCTCTCCCCTCCCTCCGTCCCTCCTTCCCCCCATCCTTCCCGGCCAGACTCCCCCAGCCCGGGGACCGGAGGGACGGCTGTCTTTCCCTACACGAGACACCGGGGGACCCTGGGGGACTGTACGCTGCACTCGGGAGCACTCGGCTGCTGGGCCCGGCAGGTGTCTGCTCCAGGCTGATGCTGAAGCCTTACCCTGAGAGGACAAGACCTGGGCACCTCCAGGGTTCTCCTTGGAGCCCTCGGGGTACAGGTTGTGCAGCAGTGAGCAAATTCAGCCCATGTTGCCCCTGTCATGATGTCAGCACTGGCTGTGCACGGAACATTGGTTAACGTGTGTCCCAGAGTAAATGACCTCAGTTCATACAGACCATCACATAGCTACTTCCCACCTATATGTGCTTCCCTTGGGTACTTAACTGCGCAGGCTGGGATCTCTCCCTCTCTAGGTTTGCAAAGCAGATGGTGTCATCATCTTTTAGTGGTGCAGAGCAACCTAGTGACTAAGCAATGCCATGTACACTTGTGGGGCTGCTGAGGGTCTGCAAGTCTCAACACTGGGGCCTGCACCAGAGAACCCCTCTTTTCTGTGGTAATAAGTTTCAGGAGCTCCTGATTTAAACCAGATTTTAAGTGGAAGGTTCCATATTCCAATCGAAGTTATTGGAGACATCTATTTTCCCTTTGCATGCCTCCTTTTTTGGCCCCAGCTCTGCTGCCCTTAATCATACCGTTTAAACTGATGAGTGTTTTGCATGAGTAAAGTACGGGGAACTGCAAGAAACACTGCTTGGTTTCATGATTAACCATGGGAAAAATGTCAGACTTCACATCAATACATTTTAAAAGGAAAATTAAATAAAGTATTGTATGTATTTGGTTTAAGCCTGGGATGTCACCGTGATGTGTGTACAGGCAAAGCTGTACATCAGAACAAAATGCTTTTAAAAAGCAGTTAGCCAGCCTTCCACTAATCTGCATCAGCAGCACTTTCACAATTTGTTTATCTGTCTCCTCTTTCCTACGGGCTTTTTGGCACTACTAATAAAGACATCTAACCTAGCTATATGCCAATTTTCCACAAAAACAAATGTGTGATCAAGGCAGCATGTAACCTTTTATGTATTTAACTTGTGAAATTCTTACTCTACGTTATCTTCTGACAACAGACAGCAAGACAGCCTATTTCAATAAGGAAAGGAAAGTGTAGGATGGCTACAAGTGAGGTTATACTTATTGCCTCCTAATTTCATTGATGTTAGCTACGTGCTAAAAATTATACTACTGAAAATAAAGCCAAGTCCCTTCTCCTCTTCACTGCTAGAAAGCTAACCAGTGATAGAGATGTTCTGACCTGATCTCATTTCTTTGAAGCCCCTGGAAATCTGTCCATTTGCTCCAATGACTTTTGCTTCAATCAATAGTCAGTAGTATTTAGAAAAGGAAGACTGAGAAGCGGCACACACAGTGCCAGCCCCTAAAGGGAAAAGCATGGTTATGGTTAGATTGCAGTCCTCCTTGGGCTTCAGCTGGTGATCAGCTAATTGGTGTGCATCCATGCAGTTATACCAGGTTTAGAAGAATCTTCCTTATTAATACTGAAGGAAAGTGGCAAAGAAAAGGATTTCAGCTTGGTGTTCATCCTCTTCGGGACAGCCCTGAATGTTATCTGTTCTTGGTCTGCTCCTCAGTTACCCGTTCACCTGCCCAAGCTGAACAGCCAGAGCCCGGGCTGTTATCAGTGGGACAGCCTGTGCTATTCTAAAGCTAACAAATGGATTGTCACTAACATAAAAAGGAGAAACAGATGTTTCCTTTCCATTTTGACCATGTTCATGCCATGTTATTTTAGGTTAGCTGTGTGAGACAACTACACTGCAGCAGGGCTTTGATAATCCTCAGATAGTCCTTTCACTGTGCTTCCAATGGTATGGCCTCACCATGAACAGCTTCTCCAGGGCCTGAAGCAACTTTAAGGTGCAGGAACTGGTGAAAAAGAAACTATGACCTTCTTATTTCTGATCCTGTTTTTCTTACCACTTTTCCTTGCTTCTCTCTCCTGCCCAAATGGAGCTGCTCCTCTGCAACCTGTTAAGGCATCTGGAATAAGTATGACAGTGTGGCACATTTTAGAAAGCTGACGGCACTGGAAAAAACAATTCAAAAGTGTAAAGGACAGTCTGACGGGTGATCTATTCAGCAAGAGAACTGGAACACACTGGAGAGAGTATTGGCATGTGCTTCCCAGCCCTGACGTGTTTTGAGATAGGGAGCTGATGAGAAAACACTATCGCTTGTCCAAGGATACAAACATACAGTTAAGAAAAGTGAATTGCAAGGCTGTGTTTAAGTTAAACTTTCAAATATAAAGATGAGGAATGAAAACACAGGGCGATTTATATTTCCATGCATTGGCAGCAGTGCACTCTCAACACACTAAGGGGCCCTGTTCAGTCCTATGCTTTTGACTGTGGCTTTGTGAGCTTAAAAAAGGATTTATCATACCTGCAGGTAGCAAAATGGAGTCCAAAGACCTAGGTAGCTGATTTCTACTTAATTTCAGTAAGGAGAAGATATTTAAACATTTCTGTAAATCTGATCTAACCACCTTTTTTAAATCTACAGAATCAAACATGGGTGTACTATGCATTTCTGCAGGATCACACTACACTAAGTAGCATCACAGCTATATGATACCATCAGTGGATTTGCTCTTTGCCCTCTGCTGCAGTCATTCACACCTTTGGGAGCAGATATAAAATGCAAATGTCATTGTGAGACTCCAGAGACTTCTGCCTTAGCGGGGCTTACTCATGAGTAAATGATTTCATGAAGAGCAAGACTCTGGAAAGGAATTAATTTGATGCTTAAGAACACATGAGACAAAGATCTCTAGACCTGAGCTCAGTAGCGGTAGGTAACAGGTACCCTCCTACCTCAGTACCCTGCAATACAGACTGCCAGTAGCTCAGTCTGAGTCTCCCTGGAAGGTGATACACAAAGAAAGGAGCGTTAGATGACTCCATCCAAACCAACTGCCTTACAAACCAGTGATCCAAGGGTAAAATATCAGTGCAAGAGGCTGCTGGGGCAATGTGGAACTGTAATTCCTGCAGACCCATGTTTACTGGAAGGCAGCCTGGCTGCAAATGCCAGGGGCAGCTCAGTGAAGGGGTTATGCCTGAGGCACATTTCCCTCTGACTACTTTTGTCCTGTCAAGTCACTCTGACACCATCTGGCTTTCACTCTTTCCTGGGCTCAAAAAAGCATATGGTGGCCAGGGACAGACAGTGCTGATGGGGGCATTGGGCTGTGGAGAAAGCATGCTTGTGATGGTTGTTCTGCCTCTCTGGAAACCAGACTTAGTATCATAATCACTACTTATATCTGTAGGCTCCGAAGATTTGATCATCACTATGCTTTATGGCTATTTACTAATTATCTAGTCATTTATTAACTAAGCCTGTAGATTTTGCAAGCTAAATAAGTACTTTCTGTTTGTTTGTGAGAGGGTCAACAATGGCACCAGAAGAAATTTCAGCCTGTGGCTGAAGGTTGCAAAAGTTCCTTGCAAAGCCAGAAATAGAAGACCACAGTTAGAAATCCTAATCTCTAACCACTAAGGTACTCCGGGCAGTTCTCTGTTTGCATGGAAGTACAGATAGTAACCAAAGGTGTTTCCACTCATTACACTGTGGATCACAGGTGATTTCTTGTCTCTATTTATTGACTGAGCAAAGGGAAGCCCTTTGTTTAACTTGACGGGGTTTTTCTCCTTCATTATCTTTCTATTTGTAAATGAACACCACAAATGAGTGATTCCAAAATCTGGATAGTGCAGGCATCAACTAACTGGACTGTTTGAGGATGGAAAAAAATATGGATGGGGTTAGTGCATCTGAAGTCTGGATTGCCACTGTCCGTGGCCCTGTTGTGCCAGCCCCAAAGCCTCAGTGACCATGTGAGAAGCTGATACATGAAGTTCAAGAACCCAGCAAAAATTAATCACTCAAAAGAACAAAGATTAGTTTACAGACAGATCAGCTCTTCAAATCCATCTGCTATGCAGTAACATGAGTGCTAGTGCCTGCAAAAGGACGAGGTCAGAGATTGAGGAGGAGGGTGTCTTGTAGCAACTGAGATTAACATGAGTTTAAACTGAAGAGGGACCTGACCCTTGGGAAAGCAGCAGGGGAACTGGGAGGAGATGGTGTGGATTGCAGGGCTGCTCCCCACCTTAGCCTTGCCTCCCTTTCTAATGTTGAGATGCCTGGCTAGATTTGCTGTTTGCAAACAGAGAAGGACTGATGGGTGATGTGAAGGTTCGAGGCCATCTTGGGAAAAGTGATCACAAAATAATTGAATTTTCAATCCTTGGAGAAATCAGGATGAAGGTCAGCAAACCCTTCACCTTAGACTTCTGAAGGGATGAGTTTGGCCTGTTTAGGATGCTGGTTGGCAGAATTCCTTGGGAAACATTACTACTTCTGAAAGACTAAGCTTCACTAGAGATAATCAGATGCCTAAAATTAAGTACATACCTAGGTTTGATGGTGCCAAGAGCCACAGGCATTTGCAACCTGGTTTCTGCAGTTGTGCT